TATATATATATAAACATAATGACAGAGATACAACAGTGAGTTGTATCTGTAAAACACAGTGGAGGCTCTGTCGTGGTTTGGCTCTCTATTTCGGCCTGTGGTGTAGGGGACCATGTCAAAATTGATGGAACACTGAAGGGATCCCAAACACACTGCAGATGCAGTAAAAACATACATGGATAGAGCAGGCTCATCATGACAGATCCAAGTCAGAATTTTCATTTGGTGTGCCTCCTCAACTCGTATCTATAAAAAAGCTGCAGCTGTGTTTTTAAGTACAAAAAATGTATTGGTTTGTTTTGCTAGTGATGCTTGAATGGCTCTACATTGTTTGTTTGTTTTGGTTTGTGAACTTGAATTTTTTATGTGTGTATTGTATACGAGTATTGCATTGTATATAGTTAAACAACTTTTACAACTTTACTACCTGGAATAACGTTAACTGAAGATTGGGGAAGCCAATGCAGAAGTCCCTTAAACCTGTATTCTATCTGACGGCCACCAGATGGCAATAGATGTGGTTGTAAGAAAAACTTCTGGTTCTGTTGAAGTCTAGTGGGAAGTGGCTCTGTCTTAACCTCTGTAAACACTTTCATGCTGGGTTTATCAGTTCAGTCCCTCACTTGAATCATTTTGAATAAAAAAATCAAGTCTATTTTGTAAATCTTGGTGATATAGTGTTTTAACATGGAGGACTATTTGTGCAGAAAGACCTGGGTGAACACTGTGGGTAAATAACCCTTGGCTTCCTTTCTCTGTGACCTCAGTAAACACTTCCTTCAGAACTTTAGAGGCTAGTTTCATATTCTATTGAATAAAAAAAAAAAAAAGCAGTTCACATTATAAATTATGGTCATTATTAGAGTAAGAAACATGGATTACCCAGGGCATGCTCCTGGGCTAATGACTGGTCGATTACAAGTTGTGAGCATCAAGAAGTTCTGCATGTCTTTATAGAGTCATTAAATCATTACTCATGTAATACATCAGACAGCATATCATTTCAATCATGATCTAAGATGTTATTTATTAACTAATTTACATTTTACATTTCCACAACAAGAACACTAGATGCAAGGACAGTCAAGCTTCAATATTTTAATCAGTATTTAAGAACATGTAAATGAGCTGTGTCAAAGCCAACAAAGTTGGTTAGCAAAGCACGTAGATTTTACCACCATACTGCACATATAAAATGGGCAAAATCAAAATATCTTCAAAGAACTTCTAAATACTGAAGAACTCATCTCTGAATCCCCAGTTTCAGAGGCACTCATCAGAATGAATTGGGTCCTATGGAGCTGTAGTCCAAAATAAAGTAAATTTTATGAAAATTGTAATGTTTTCAATAGATGAGGTTGAAAGACGAGTTAGGCTTCCATTTTTTATTTTTAATCGTACTAAAATATATGTATACGAAACATTAAAAAAAACAAAACAAAAAAAAACTTAAACCTCAACACCAACTACCATTTTGATTTCAGGTATGAAACAAGCACCACCAAGGATCACCATCATTCACTACAACCAACTGTTTCTCATACGTACATGGAAGTTTGTTGTGATTTGAGGACTCTAGACAAGTGGAAGACAAAAGAAGTAGTGGCAGGTCTAAAAGAAGTAATGTCACTAAGATTCATCTACTGTTCTCTGAAACTTCATCAGATGTGATCCGAGTGGAAGGGTGGCTGTCAAAAAAATGTACTCTTAAGGAAAAGAAACAGGGAGAAAGGGCTGAGGTGTGCCAAATTAAACAAAAACAAACTAGACTAAAAATCAGCATCCAACGGTCTCATGGAGTGAGGAATCCAAATTTGGAATTTTTGGTTCATCATTTGTCAGTATGTAGAAAACATAATGACAGAGGTACAACAGTGAGTGTTTACAGCTATCTGTAAAACACAGTGGGGTCTCAGTTTCAGCCTGTGGTGCAAGGGACCATGTTAAAATTGATGGAACACAGAAAAGAGGGTTCAGATTATCATCCGCCATGCACAACCAATTGGAGAGGGTCTAATTGGCTAACCACTTTGTTTTTCAGCATGACAGGGATCCCAAACACACTGTAGATGCAGTAAAAGGCTCAAGTCTTTTAGACAGTGTGGTACGCTTACATTTGGGGTGAGCAAGAGGTGAGACAGAGAACACAGATCTGCGCCGAGTGGTTATCAGATTCTGATTACAAATGCAAAACAAATGTATTTAGATTTATGTTCTTTGGAGGGGAAAACTAACAAATGGAGACAGCCCCCATTGTTTCAGACATTGTGTTGATGTATTTTACTTTCGTTATTTGGCAAAACCTCATTCACAAAGCAACATGAACCTGCATTAAGGAGGCATTAGATAAGCATATAATGCATCAGACAGCAGAGTTTCTATAAAAACACACCCTAGAATATTGTAGGGTGTATTTTGTTGTAATGAAAAGTCTTTGTTACCTGTTCATCAAAGCTGCTGATGACTTGTGAGATACACAACCATTCCTTATGAGTTTAAAAGAGCACCAAATAAGGAATTTAGAAGATTATGGAAACAACCTCAACAACCACATGCAGGGACACTAACAAGCAGCGGAACTCCCTCACAGGTCAGTAGACTCCCACTGTTCTTTACTTATCCTGGCTCCAGTCACTTCCTGCTCTGTCTTTTCCTCCATCTTAGGCCATGTAAGCCAATCGGGGGTGAGATATTTGAAACTGCCACTTGCTGCAGGAACAAATGAAAATATTGCCGGAGAGGAGAAGTAATCCCGACTGCAGATGCTTGGACAGCCTCTGAAATCCAATCTGGACTGGCCTTGTGGGTTGAGGTAGTGGGCCGATGTTGCTAAGAAGCTGGAATTAGGATAAAACAGAAATCCTCCAAAGTGTGAAAGGCTCATCAGGTCCTGATAACAAGAATAAGATAGATAGAAAAGATTATCCGAGGATCATGGACAGCAACAGCCCAGGTCAAGAGTGGTTTTCAGTCCAGAAAGACTGAAAAAAACCTACAACACACATAATGCTCTAGAAGTGTAAATACATTACATGAGTATTTATTGTATTGTGTATTATTTTTAAAAACCTAAAAGTACAGTAGATCAAGTAATAATAGGAATGGCTTTTATTTTAGTGTTAATTTAAAAAAAAAAAAATTCAAAGAATTCCTACTTGTACTTGTCTACTCATTTTTCCAGGGGTACTTAAATGCAGGTAATTCTGCAACTATAGCTATTCAGTTATATAGAGTATCTATATAGACGCATTTTTTAAAAATAGAAAACTCTGCAAATCCCTTTGGAAACCGTTTGAAATACTAAACTAAGGCATATCCACAGCCTCTGGAAACTTAAAAAGTAGTTCAAACAATATGAAGTTTAGTCAAAAAAAATACAGATGAAGACAATTTTCTCAGTTATCTATAGCATGAGTTAAAAATAAAACATGAGGGTACTTACAGAATGTAAAAAGCAGACACATTCTTCATTAAACTTGCAAGTAATTATGCTGCAATTTCTTTAAAATAATCCTTTTGATTTGTAGAAAAATAAAAAAATTTATTATTTAAAATTATGAACAACATCCATCCATCCATCCATTCTCTTCTACCCATCCTTTTCAGGGTTGCAGGGTGAGGGAGGGGGTGGGATGTCTAGTTATGCACAACTATGAGACATTTTAATAAAAAAATTTACAACTTTGAAAATAAAATCTGACATCCTACTTTTCTGCTCTTCACTACATTAATTAATGGGCTATATTTACTTAAATTAGGATAACCAATGAGACCACAGTGAGGTAACACACTAGTTGACAGTGAATTATCCTTTCCAACCTTTAAGGTTCCTGTGCAGACAAACCAGCTATATATGTTGTTAAAACATAACCAGTGCTTTGTCCTTTGTGTTTCTTTTAGTATTAAATGTGGAGTGTGCCAGTCTGTACATGTATGACCGGTCAGAAAGACTCTTCAAAAAGTTGCAGTCACATGAGGGTCAAAGCGCCTCTCTCCAGCCTTTGGAAATACATTCTTTGGAAATGCTGACTGCATTTTTTTAACAGATATAAGACTTGTTGTGCATTCTGGGTAGTAAGCACCTTAAAAACATGACCAATGGAAAATGCACTAAGTTTTGCTATAAAAAACACTATTTGTGCTTCATGTGTCTGTTCATATTTACTCTGTAGTTGAATTAAAGTAAAAAAGATAAGTAAATAAAGTATAAGTTAACAGTTAAAATAGGCTAAATCTGCACTTTTTACAACAATTAAATGCTACCTACAGTAGTATGCATAATAAGTATTAAAACACACCATTCTTTAAGTTTGATTACTAATAATACTTCCTATGCTCTAAGTCTCATCATGTGAGCCTTAATGCCTCACTTTGACAGGCACTTAAAGGCTATGGGTGCCCTAATGGATTTTTTTAAGGTTATGCAGAAGTCATTTGATATAGCTTTCAAATTGTGTTTTGTGTTGCTATGTACCTGTGCCATTGCATGTTGTTGATTAATAGGAAGAGGAGTCAGTGCTGGACTCAATCCACATGGCACTACTCTGTCCACGTTGGCACAGCTGTGCCAGGTGTTCAGCCGAGATGAGTGGAAAAGGCCATTTGAAACACTGGGATCCCACAGATATCTGTTTAATTCTGGAGAATAAGCACAGCTGTATGCAAAACCGGTGGAGACATCAGACAGTTGTTCCGTCCTTGCATCTTGTTTCTGGCAGCGATTTGCTTGGTCAGTTGTTAGGCTGCTGACATGACTTTGTCCGAGGTCCACATCTTTGTGGATCCTGGCTGTAGTCTGCATGGTTGCTTCTGTGATGGAAACCTTTGGCTCTGGTTCTTTTTCCTGGTGTGTTTCACACATCTCTTCTCCAGGAAACTCCTCAGAATTTGTGTCCTTATCACTGTCACTCTCGTGGGGATCTTGCAAAACCAAAATAAACAAGAAACAAGACATATTCATACTTGTTCAAACAACAAAAATTCAACAAAATTCCATTGTATGGGATAATGTCAGATCACTGTCTTAACACAGCCTATAAATATTGAATACAGGTTAAAAAAATATATATAGGTCACTCATATACAAAGTTAGTTTAGCAAAGATAATTCAAGTTAAAATATGTTTAACTTTAAGTGTACTTGTTTTTTTTAATCTTCTATTAAGTGTATATATAACTGAGCCAATCATATCGTATTAACAAAATTAAAATACCACGAAAACTGTGAAAAGTCAACGGTAATCATGGTCATCACGTTTTTAAACCCTTTTCTTAGTTCTGTAAGCTTTTGTGTTTTTTATAGCATAGGGGTTGCACTGACATTATGAATACTGCGCAGGTGAAGTGGTGAATTCGCTCACCTGAAGACTTGGAATTGTGTGAATGCTGTGGAGAGTCTTTTACAGGTTCATGTTTCACGTCAGTCAGCTGTGTCTCTTTAGAGCTGTGGGATGAGTGTTGTAGTTTCCTGATATAACCAAGAACAACACAATAAGAAGAAAAAGGTCACCCGTATCATTGCTGAGTAATAGTGACTTGTGGCAGTTTTGTTCAAACTGACATTACTTTGGTGTTCAGTCGTAAAAAAACGGAACTTCCGCAGTTTTGTTTTGTTTTTAACTCAGAAGCTCAGAAACAGATTTTATGTGTGAAATTTGGCGTCCTAGAGTAAAAGAGACATTCTGTAAAGCAAAGCATGCAAAGACACATTTGACCTTTTTTAATGGGAAGCTAAAATTTATAGTAATATTCCGTAAACAAGATTAGTGGCTTACTGGGAAAAAATGTTCTTCTAAAGCAACAATTTTTTATTTTTTTTTTTACAAATACTGATGGCTGCAGTTACCAAATTGAGGCCAAAGTGTCTGTGTTTTTTCAAGAAATGTGGGGATGTTAGCACTGAGTTTATAATTATACTCTGTGATTACTTCATGAGGTTTTAGATGCACATTTGACTCCTCTAGCAGTAAAAAGAATTGCCACAGCTACCTGGATTCAGATTTCTTTTAGTAGAGAACACTCTGAAATTGAATTTCCAGTTGAGAAATTAAAACTGCACAAACAAAATAGGATAAATAACACATAAAAAATACACTTGAGGAAATTTTGTTTAGGTTTTGTTTTGTATTTTCCTAGATGTCTCTAGGAAAGAATGAAAAAAAGTGTCCATAATGCTATAAGTAAAATTAATTGATAACTTTGTTTATTGTTTTAACTTTGTTTGAGAAAAAACAGTTATATAAGCACATGTTATCATGTTATTGGCATGATGTTTCATTTTTTAATATCATTGTTATCACCAATACATATAATTTTCATCCATCCATCCATCCATTTGCTTCCGCTTGTCCTTTTCAGGGTCGCGGGGGGCGCTGGAGCCTATCCCAGCTGTCATAGGGCGAGAGGCGGGGTACAACCCTGGACAGGTCGCCAGTCTGTCGCAGGGCCAACACACAGGAACAGACAACCATTCGTGCTCACATTCACTCACACATTCACACCTAATGGCAATTTGGATTTTCCAATTAACCTATCCCCACAAGCTGCATGTCTTTGGACGGTGGGAGGAAGCCGGAGTACCCGGAGTGAACCCACGCAAACACGGGGAGAACATGCAAACTCCACACAGAAAGACCCCGGCCTGATGTTGGAATTGAACTCAGGACCTTCTTGCTGTGCGGCAACAGTGCTAACCACTGTGCCACCGTGCTGCCATATAATTTTCATTTACTCCTTTTTGTACTTCTACACAACCACAACAAGGTACTGCAGGGTTTGGTTTCATATAGAAACAAACATGTACATAGTATTTTCTTTTTTTGTAACTTATAAGAAATAACTTGCCTCTTCTCTCTCCTTCCATTGCCAGTATCTCGGAATCCCTTGGCGAAAGGATTGTTGTCTATTTTCAGCTGTGTGATCTAATATTTGATACAAAAGAAACATTTCTTTATGATTGCAGACTCAAAGTCTTCACCTTCCTTTCCACTTTGTTCTAGGGAAGAGAATTCCTTACCTTGTCATTCTGGTAAGCTGTAACTGCGATGAATTCAGTCTCAGAGAACACATATGTCCTAAAAGTGCAGTAAGGCAGCGTTAGGATGTCGTGTGCCTTTACTATATGAAACCTGGGCTGGTACTTGTGCATCGAGTTGAGAATTGTCTGCAAATGAAAAGAATTAGAGAAACTCAAAATTGGAAGCATAGTGCATAGCAAAAATAAAAGGAAAGCGTTAGTAACACTTAAGTGAAAACAATTTCCCAGCACCCCCAAGCTACTTTACGCATTGAGCGAATTTACTGGATTTCTGTGTTATTGCTCACTAAAAGACCATAAACAGCACGTCTTGATGCGCTCTTTGACAGCATGGTGGTTGTTCAAAGCCACCTTTAAAACAAGGTGTTAGGTGAAAACTTACAAATCCATGCTTGTCTGATATGTTGTTGGTTAGTTTCAGCTTGAGGAAGTTGACCACTTTGGACATCCACTGCTCTCCCGTAGCCGGACTGTCCGGGTGGATGTACATGCGTTTGGGCATCTCGGGGTCCGCCTTGCCAGCCACCATCCAGCGTGAGTTATGGAATTTATATCTACAGTCGTCAGCTGCCACGATGTCCATGAGGAGAATATATTTGGCTTTTCTGTCCATCCCCGTGCACCTGGCCCTGAGCGGCGGAAACATACGTCTGCGAGGAGAAGAGACCGTGACAGGAAGCACGCATTCATCAACACCTTTCCATTCATGCGTAAATGTTAGAAAATTACCTCCCAGATTTTGTAATGACCATTTCTGTTCCGCATTTGTGGAACTGTCTCCAAAGCTCACTGGCTTCTAAATAAAGTTTGGGCTCATCTTCTGCTGTTTCCTCGATTTCCACAAGTTCACGAGGCCGAGAAAATAGCGCAGAGCTCTCCGGCGTAGATGTGCGAAGGATCGGATCTACACTGGAATCCAGGCTTCGGTTTGGCGGTCCTCCCGTGGATGCAATTGGGAACAAAGTGAATCCGGACAGGAGAGTCGCGCAGGGAGCCGGATCTCCTCCTGGAAAAGTTTGAGGCACCGCTGCTGAGACGCACAGCTCAGAGAAAGTGCGCATGGTTTCCAAAGAGAAACTTTATTAGGAAGACCTTACAATTTTATACAAAATAAAAACAGTTGCACATTAAAAAAAATCAGCAAAGCGTGTTAGAGCAAACAGCTGTTATACTTGTTTATCAGCCGAAGGTCCACTACTCTCTAATGCCTCCCAGCTTGTGTCGAAGCCGATTTGCTTATTGACACGTTTGAACTCCTTGTGACACTCGGCAGTGGGTGGGGTTTATTTATGTGGAGAAAAGTGCTGTCCTATGTTGAGTGAAATTCAACTTTATTAATCACAAAACAAAACAGCACATTACACACGAACAACACTGAGATATACAAATAACCAAGACTTGGCTCACTTTAAAAAAAAATTATTTTTTAAGTTGCCATTTATAATACAGCACCAATATGCAACATCGCCATAAATATGAAATTATTCAAAGTGTCACTAAAAATTACTTTTTTTTCCTAAATAATTATTTTCCTATTTTATACTATTTTCTTATTTTAACACAAATACGGCTGTGACACAGGAGGAAAAATGTATTTAAGACACTAAAATGAGTGTATTTATTTGTGATTTACAGTTACCCTAATCACGTTATCATTTCTATAAAATTATATTTAAATCATAGCATTTTCCCGTATTAGGGTTAACTTGTAGAATTCAGAGGTTAAAAAGGGGGATTAAGAGGTTAAGAACCCAACAATGGATCTGTGAGATCGCATCTTCTGTAAAAGATCATTTATGAGAAGTAGCATACAAACACACAAAAAATGTATAAAACCTTGATTTACAAGAGAACTCTTTTGTTCCATTCTGTGTTTGAATTGGGACAGGTTTTGTACTTGAGGGTGTGATTTGTCCATAGACTGTATAAAACTGGTTTCTGGACTTCAAAATGGAAGTCCAGAAACCAGTTTTATACAACATTTAGTCAAATTTGGACCAGGAGGTGGAGTGCTATTAGATATCGGCTAATTATATGGGTACAGCACACACACACACACACACACACACACACACACACACACACACACACACACACACACACAGATGAACAGCAACACATGATATAACGATATATTACAACGTGCTGTCTATTAAGCACACCCATTATTCATACACTGGGACATGCACTCCTAGGAAGATTGGCAGCTATACTAAATGTTTTCCACTTCAAGGCACAAGAAAACTGTCAAAACGTCTGATTTTATAAAGTTGGTTACGTTTGCTACAGATTAATTAATTAAGTGCATTTGATTATCAGCTCCTGGTTGATACATATGGAATACATGCAGTTAGTTTTTCACTGCTTTTGCATTTTGCTAATTTTTCTGTTAAATACATAATAACAAAGTATAATTTGTTTATCTGAGGACCTGATAAGGACCAGATTATGTTTGATTATGTTTTCATATATAAAAAAAACTTCATCATTGAATTCATATAGTGCAAACAGCCAAATAAAACACAACAACTGAACTTATCAAAACTGTTGCACAAACTTCTTGAAAAAACTGTACTGCGCAGCAGGCCATATTATTTTCAGGTATTCCATTAAAATGCTCCAAAAGGCACCAACAACACAAACCCAGTGGAGAGGTCCAGTTCAGTGACCCTGATTAGTGGAGGTGAGGCCTAGCAGACCCGCTACCAGCTACAATTGCCTGTATCTGGACACCTGTCAATCAAAGAGGCGTTTGAGGCTCTCCTTTTTTTCTTTTGTCTTTGGTACTTCCATATTGGTTTCATTTGTCAGCTCCATGATTTGTCCATTCAGCCTTTTTGTTTTTTTACATTGTAGCGTAAAATCCATCTACTAATTAGAAGGTTGGTTGTTCAATCCTCGTCTGCTCCAGTCTGCATGCCAAATATCTGTACGAGATACTAACCCCAAGTTCGTCTCCAGTGCATCCATTGGAGTATGAATGTGTAGGAATGTTAGACTGAAGCACGTACGGAGAAAGCATAGAAAAAAAGCGCTTGTGTGAATGTGTGTGAATGGGTGACTGAGGTAAGTTGTGTAAAGCGCTTTTAGTGCTCAGATAGTGTAGAAAAGTGTTAAAAGAACCAGTCCATTTACCATTTAGAGTGATAAGCCTAAAAAGCCTGCATCTACTCATCTATGCTTTCTTCAAGTTTTCTGCTGCTTCATGCGCTGTTTCATTTAGTTTTTTTTATATAGCTCAGGAGAAATTGGAAACACATCCTTACAGTGGTGCCCTATATTGACACCACAGACAGTGAGCTACTTGATCAGAAATGCAAGTACCTCAGACATGCCATAGAGGTTATCAGTGGAAGTTTCTTCAACAGGTCTGGGAGCATGAAGGACTGCATAATATCTTTGTAGGTGCCAGTGAATGCATGGTCCTGACAGTGAACCCTGAAGGTGAAAAGGTGTTGGGAGAGGAGCTCTCTAGATGGCATCATAAATGCCTTTTGATAAAGCAAACACTGACTGACAACATGGCTTCTAGTCTTCAAAAAGGAAATATTCCAGATGCTCAATCGTGCTCAAAACACTAAAACACTGAAGTGTTTCTAAGAAGAAAAAAGTCAACACTTTTATCATTGCTGTGTGTGTTGTTGTGTCTTATAGTGGGCCTAGGTGTCTGAAATAAACTGTTTTAGCTCTCGTCCCTTTGAGCCAACAGAAGGTTTAAACCACAGTATAAAAGATGGGCATAGCTTCTGGGTCTGAAAAATGAAGGCAGCATGGAAGTGCCTTTAACCTGCATTCTTTTTGATGTCTACCAAGAGGACGATAACTGTGGTTGCAAAAGACTTCCAGCCCTATAAAAGTCTATGGGAAAACAGCCCCCTGGTCTGACCTTAGTAAACTTTTCTCTAATGGGTTTATGGGCTCACTCACTCATTTCAGGTCACATTGTATAAAATATAGTCCATTTTGTATAACACAGTCTGTCTTAGATCCTGCATTTAGGTTTGCATAGAGGTATACTCAATATTGTTGGCCGACTCAAGGACCCTAACCTCCACTCCCCACCTCCTATAAACACTGTAACAAACACCATAGCAGCACCACTAGTGAAATCTGTGTAACAAACAAACCTTCTGTCTTCCCACATCATTGCCGTGCCTTGTGGTTTCATTTGCTCCACTGATGTGGTCTCTCTATACAGTGCTGCATGGGGACAGTGTGGGAGGATTCGGCTCTGTGGAGAAGCAGCCAGTGATTTTCCCGGCTGGATTAGACTCTAGATTTGGTTACAGACTTTTTATTGCTCAATGGTCCATGACACTGCAGGGAAAACTTTGTGTGAGTGAGGGCGGCAGGTTCGGGATACAGTTGTACCACACGTGTGTACAACACAGGAGGGGCTGGACAGCATGTCAGCATGAGGAGATAGCATTGAGTATGAAGTCACATAACATAGTTGTGTGTGAAATTTTACTGTATGTAGTCCTAATACAAATAACAACAACAGAAACATTATTAAAACCAAAGTTCTTGAAAATGAAAATGTCCTAAGTCCAGTTAGTCCAGGGTAAGGGGAGTTTAAGAAGTATGTCCAGCTGACAGAGACATTATATCTTTGATGTCAGAACCTGCAAGACATCCAAGACAAGGCAGCAAGAAAAGGCCACCAGCTGACCATTATTCAGTGATGAAATGCTTGCTGGGGGCATTTTTTCCACTTTTAAGTCAAATATATAACTTAGTTTTAGGCCATTATGTTTCTACAAGTTAATAACAAACTATTTGACAATGTACAACTGGTGCTATCAAAGACTGTGGCCAATTCAGACCGCTGAGAGTAACATTATGTTTGCAAAAGCCCTCAGTAGTTACTGTAGCCTACTAACACATTAGCATTAACTTGCAGCTGACTAGATGTAGAACAGGATTGCCAACTGTCCCGCTATTTTGCTTAATTTACGGGACATCCCATATAATGAGCAAAATTAGTTCTATCTTAAATGTCCCGAATATTGACCATTACCTATGATGTCCCCAACAGATGGCACTCTTACAAATACCAAATTAGATTTGACCACAGCTGTATCAGAGGAGAGCTTGTGTCCAGTCACAACCATCGCTGACGGCCCATCACACACACCAAATGTGAGGAGTAATATGTGATTTGTAAAAATGTGGTGGCATTTTGTCTGTGTAGCATAATAAAGTGGGTAACTGAATCCTATATTTACAATATTTTGTTTGAATATTTTTTTGCTTATTTCTCAAAGGAAATGGCCATGTGATTTCGGTTATCAGTTATTTTGTTTTTCTTTAATGTTTTGATGAGGTATTGATTAAACTAAATAACATTTTACTGCATTTTTATTATATTTACACAATTCCCAGCTGGCTGTGCATTGTTGTAAAAAATTACAACTGTACAACTGTAAAAAATTTTGCTAGCATTTCGTCTCATATTTACATCTCTGAACTGTTTTGTGCAATTCTAATGGTTTTTAAAAAGGTGGTCAAGAAAACACAGCCAGTGCAGAATTAGTGCAGAATTATTGAATTACAGCTGGCAATATGGCAAAGTCCAACTGGAGCTTCACAGAACTGCATGATGGTTTTGGGCTGAACTTAAATGAAAAGAGTTAATCTGCACTGTTTCATATAGTAGTGTCATCTAGCTGCTCCACCGCACTGTTGAACAATCATTTTAGGTGATGCACCACAGAAATAATAAGATAGATGCACTTGACCAATATCTATGTCAGTATTGCATAGGTCCAGATGGGCTCAAAACGTCATGTTTTGTAACACTAACATATGCACTCCGTATCGTTTTAAACTGAAAACCATTCATATAAATGTTTCAGTGGAAACTTTTACCTCTCTAGGTGTATGATCATTGGGGCATTTTCAAATTGTAACAGATATATGCAAGTTTATTTTCCTTAGAACATAAACTATACCTGAAGCTCAGTATTCTGTGTCTGATAGTGTGCTACAACTTCAAGTTGTTGCCTTTGATGAAGCGGTAAGGCCAGTTTTCCAAAGGCAACACACTGAGATTTGTAGTACAGTGAGGATTCTGCTGTGAAATCAGGAAATGCCTCACACTGGACCTTTTGTTACAGCTTCCCCAAGATTCTTTGATCAGATGCCTAAGTAAGCACACATCTTAACCAGAGGTCATTCAAGATATGTGGTGGGTGGCAGAACTGTTGATGACCCAGTCTTTTTCTATCAGGGAAGCAGGGGAAAAC